TTTTTTTTTTGTATTTTTACGCAGTTATTAGCAGGACTATACTCTCGCATTCTCGAAATATTGATATACATACACTAGGAGTAACCACTAAGTCTTGCAAAGCCTTGTATGGTATACGGATTGCACGCTTCGCAAAGTTTTCCTATAGGAAATCCGGTTCTACCGTACAGTCCGACACGGTGCAAGGTTTTTATCTACCTCTCTGACAAAAAAAATTTAATTACTTAAAAGTGTATTCTCACTCTTATTACCAAGTTGTTGTTTTTTTTTTCTTTTTTTGTGAAACTTGTTTTCGAGTAGCAACTAATCCCCCTTTCTGACAAAAATGTCTTTCTTCAAGCAAATAATCACACTTTTTTCCTTAGCCAGTTTTGGACGATTATTCGGGGCTCCTTCTTTTACTTTAATAAAATTTATTACGAATTAAAATGTTCTTAAAAACTCAAACTTTATTTTAAATTGAATGTGAATAACATATCGATATTTAGTATCCTCTATCGCCTCTCCCGGATAATGGCACAACCTCGATGTCATATTTTTGCCATTCAGCGGCTAGTTTTGTCTGTCTATACCAGGGTTGTTGCGAATATTATTCCGAAATAAAAGTCCTTTCCGGATAACAAACATATACATATATATAATAATGGTTATTAAACACGTTAGATGATCTTAAAAAAGGTGCTCCTCGCTCTTAAAGCGGACGAGGTCACCTGATAGCTAGTATGGGATTGCCTTCAGCTTTACCGGGACACAGTGAAGTCACGGGCAATGAAGTGACAGATATTCTCGCCAGAAAACAGGCTGTACAGGGATTCATACAGCCAGGAAACCTTATTGGTCTGCCATGGAGCTCCATTAGGCGAAACTAGAACGCAGCGCAACATTACTGGAACCATTTTGGATATATCAACAAGGAGAATCGAAGTGCTCCTCCATCTCTTTAGGCATGAAGTAAGAATTTTTACCGTTTTTTTACTGGCCCCTGCATGTTAAGGAAGTAGCTGTCAACCAAAGCGGTTGTTAACTCTGATCAGTGTTAGTTGTGTTACGACGAACAGGAAAAAGCAGAGCACTTTATGTGCCACTGTAAAGTCCTCACTGGTACCATACTTCGCTTCCTAGAATCACTTTAACTAGAAGCACATAACCTAAATGGAATTCAGCTCCAAAGGACTTTCGTGTGGTGTCTTAGCAATACGTGGATCAAAAAAGATCGTTTCGGTCGCGGTAACTAGGTTACCTGCTCCCCTCCTCTAGATTTAATCTAATCAAATCCAACTTCCGATTTATAGTTGCGTTTCCTATATAAAATTTGCCACATAACACCAGAGCACAAAGTTTTCGGCAATGGCAAGCTCCGAGTTGTACGGTGGACACATCAAACCTGGCCAAAATCTGTCAGTTCATTAATGAATGGAAATAAGTCTACATTTTTATTTGTAGATAACCGAAATTAATGGTCAAATATTGTGAGGGGAGAGCAAAAATAGATTTTGTATATGCGTTATATCAAAGAAAATGCGCGACACCCTCGACAAAAAAAAATCTCAAAAATCAACGGTAATTTTTGCTATTAGACTAAAATTGTATGGGCTACAAAACTGCATACCCCGATAATTTCTAAAAAATCGGATCAAAAATTTGAAAGTTGTAAAATGATTGGAATTTTGAACCATATTTTTATAAAAAAAAAATATATCATAAAACATAAACTTTTTTTGAGTAAACGGTTTTAGCTGTGATCCACTATACATATGTATGTAGATACATTAGGCTGGGTCGCGTAAAAAAATTGTTTTTAGCCTCCTTGCTTTGAGAGCTTACTTCGTTAAAACATTGCCATCATAAATATTATTACCCTATTTTTGCGCGAAAAATATCCAAACCCGCGTTTTCACAACTCTTTTATTTGTATCCCGATTTTATTAAGAAAATATTTTTGAATACTATGTATCTATTGGGAATTTTTCCGACACGGTGGGAAGATGATTTATTTTGAAACGAATTTCCGTTATCTCTTGTCAAGTTTGCTCGCCTTCATATTGGTGTAAACTACTTTCTTATACCAGTTAATATTGTTATTGTGGCTTATGCATAGTGCAAATAAAGTCGACACTAAGGCTAATTACAGCTTTTTGATATAATTCGAGTCGATTTAATTCCGACCCGACTTAATTAAATTAAGTCATTAGAAATTTTTAAAATTTGTAAGTAGCGATTTTTTTAGCCTAAAGAGATGTATAGCTCTAAAAACTACTTTTCAATGAAATATCACATCTTCAAAAACCGGGTGTTAAATTAAAAACTTGCGAAGCAAATGGCATTTAGATTGTTTTTATATAGCGAGTCGAAAATTATAATGAAACCAAAATCCTCGCGTAGTAAGTAATCTTTCAAGCCTGGGAGGGGCGCCACTTTATTAGGTCATTATAAGTTTTGTTTTCTTTTGTGTGCAGTCTAATTAATGTACAGGCATATGTATGTACATATGTAAATATGTATGAATGTACGTATAGCTAGCACCTGATATACCATATTTATAATGGAATATCTAAACATTAAGCACTGCCTTAGATAACCATCTAAATTATCTAATCAAATAAATGCCGTATAAGCTAATTGATTTGCACTTCATTAACAAATTGTAGTAGTGATATATGTATACACATTTGCATTCAAAGGCATAAACATATATAAATCTCTTTAGTGTATAAATTTAGAAAAAAAAAAACAACAAAACATGCATATATATGTATCTGTATTTCTTGTATTTCTCTTTACATGCCTGCGCATAATGTGCTCGTACGCTCTGTGTGTGTGTATGTTCGTTCGTTCGTTCGTTCGTACGCCAAAATGTATGCTACGCAAATATCGACAATCTATATCTTATTGCTACGCTTATAAATATGTATAATGAAAAAAATAAACATAAATTATTCAAAAAATAATAATAAATCTAAACTCTACTCGCGTTCTACTATCGCTCTTACACTATTTCTTTACGCTCTATGCTCGTCACTGCGCCACGCTGCTAACAAATGAAATGAAAATCGTTGTATAATTAATAATTAAAAAAAAACAAAATTTAACTAATGAAAATTTGCAATATTTGGAATAACTTTGACTCAAAAACAAATTTAAATTGAATCATTTTCGTTTGCTCGCCTTAACTACTTTTTCGATAAAGTTGTTAAATTTGCAAAATTTATGTCAGCAAAAGCTTTTGTGCAATGCCAAAGGTAAGAACTTTTATTGAAAGAATATCTTTGTATGCATTTATAGGAAAATAGCTAGTTTATTTTAATTTATGTGTTTCGTGTTGTGTTTTTTTTATTTTTTTTTGGTCTTAACCCCCAGTTGGGTTTATTTGTGTGTGCTCATTGCTATTTGTCTTCTTGCTGCTTGTTTTTGTCTTTAGTTTTATTCATGTTTTTATTTTTTTTTTTTTGTCTTTGTTTTACTAAAACATCTTCATCTTTTCTTTGTATGCTCTTTGTACGTGTCTTGTAATTTATCGCCCTCGAGCTCTTTTTGTTTGCGCCTTATTGCATGTCTTTGAAATGTTTAGCTGTCACACACACACACACACACACACACATACACAATTTACCTTCGTTTGTAATTTTTCTGCACATTATTATTGTTTTTTTTTTGTATTCTTTCATTGTAAAGCGTATATGTATAACTGCAGCAATTTTTTTTTGCAATTTCCTTTACCCATTTTATTTTCTAAACGTCAAATGTCATGTTGGTAATGCGAGAAACCCGCTTAGTGGCTGCGTTTAGTGAACCTCGACGACCGTTTAATGCCACCCCCAGACATACGCCAACGACTAAATGCGCCGCCTACAACGAGCCACTAAGCGTAAATTGAATAACTAAAATCGCAATTGTAAAAACTAACGCAGAAATGGCGAAAAATCTGTTTGCTTTCCAATTCATTGCATAACAACAGGCGCACACAGCCCGTCATCGCCATCATTGCCGTACGTTGTTGTTTTGCCATGCCGCTTAACATTGCTAATAGCATATTTGTAGGCGCATACGAAAATAGCGCAAAACATCTACAAAAAAATAACCTTTCAGTAACCCCAACGGCGTATTTGCACTCAACGCGCGTTCGCACACACACACCTCCATTTCCATTGCACCTCTCTACAGTTGTACAGTTGTATGCCGGTTTTTCACGTGTTGTTGTCGATTTTGCACAACTGTTAATTTCATTACTCATTGTTGGTTCTATTTGCTCATCAGCATGTCAACAGCAATTTGCTTTATCTAAATGCCCATTTAATGCGCCCTACTGAAATAGTTTAGTTCCATTCATTCAGGCGCTCACTCGCCCAAATCAGTCGCCTTCGAACTGCTGTTGGTTGCTGTAGTGCAAGCCAAGTTGCTTTAACGCGCCGCAGCAATCTTTCAGGTGTTGATTATTTTGAAAAAGGGCGTCAAATTCTTATACAAAAAATATCCAATTACAGGGTAGTGAAAGTTGCCTTGGCTTGTGAACTACTTATATAGTATATATATTTGATGTAAGAGTATTGCATAAATCTACTTAGGCATACAAGTATTTGAAAAGAAATCAAGCGTAAATTCTACAATACTTAAACGACTCTTATATTGAAAATAGTGTGAATTCTTAGGTCTCCAAGCGTTAACCAAGTTACAAAAAACTATTTTGTGCAAACGCTTGCAGCGCATATATTCTTTAGATGGAATGGATCGCAAACCAATGGTAAGCTGATGAAATTTTTCGTGATACTTCTCATCTGCATATATTCGACGGCAACTTACTTTTTATCGCGCATTCCCGCCAGGCATTCAAAATACCAAAATTAAAAAAAAAAAAATTAGCACTTAAAAATGGCATGTGTAAACAGACTTAACGACAAGGCATTAAAATTACCAAAATTTCAAGAAAAAAAAAAAGAATTTTTAATGCCCGACTGTGTCACTCAAAATTATGTATGTAAATTAGTTCCTAGTGGAAATCTGACATTATTTCCTAAAAAATTGCTATTTGCATTCAAAGATTCACTAAATTTTCATAGCGCACCCAGCTAATATTGTAGAGAATCATTTTCATATTAATTTAGTGCCTGTTACTAATAAAAATTTTTCGGTTTCTCGTTTGGTTCTGAGCCGAAAGCACAAAATCTGTATTAATTTCTTATCCTCACCAAAAAGCTCGAAAAAATTTTCAGCGGCTATTCGGCAAATAAATAGTTGCAAATATTTGGGATGTGAAAATTTCTACTTACATAACTGACGAATACGACTTAACTTGCCGATGCGAATAATTAAGATAAGGTTGATTATTTATAGAAAAAATATACATAAATATTAAAAAAAAAAGTAAGTTGGTGTAATTGAAAATAAAATGGAAATAATGATTTAAGCAGCGGGCAGAAAACTCTTCTACTCTTGTTTAAAAATTTCAACTGTCTTGCACCAGCTGATAAGCAGTTCTTATTATATTTTATGACATTAATAATAAGTCTTAAATACTATCAACATGTCATCACTCAAAGTTACTTAATCAGTCACTCGGAGCCGCAATAAAAAAAAAATCGCTGAATGTGTGTAACCCCACATCTCCACCATCAACTAAATGTGTCTTAACATTTGTAAAATTTCCGTTTTAACTCTGTAGAAGGTGGAGACATGGCGTAAAGCAGTGATGACAGCCTCTCGACTTTGTTGCTTTTGAGCACCGATATTTTTTTAGTTTGTACATACATACCTATATTAAGGATGTACTCATTTATTTCGTAGCTTTACCCAATAGATCACAAATGCTAATAAATTGGCCATAGTGAAAAAAAAAAAATATTTTAGTAAAGTTGGTAGAGAAGTAAAATAAACCAATTATTCGTTTTTTTACATCTACCATTAAAATTTTGAAATTTTAATATAAAAACCTTTTTACAAGCTTTTTTTTATTATTTTGGTCCTACGAAGTAGTAGTACCTCTAACCACTCGGCTACAACGGCCGCCGGGTATAACAACAATATATCAGTGTAATCAGGTAATGGATATGGATAGATCTTATCAGTATACGAGTGTAAAATGCACCAACAACATTCATGTGCATTTTATTGTGTACATACATATGTATATACATACTTAAGTATGCGTTAATTTCAAGCATAGTGGGTGCCAGTATTAGAAGGGATTTCAAAAGAAGCCACCCGCCAATTAAATCCTCTAAACAATTGCAACAATGTATTCACGTATACGTATTAATTTAAGCATGCAAATCCGGATAGGTGTGCATTTACGTATATATGTACATATGTGTACATTATAGGGTGCTTCTTAAAATAACAAAATTAAGATTTGTTTTGTATGCGATACTACTTCTTTTTGTTCTACGTACAAATTAAAGTCATCCACGAAAATTTTCAAATAATTTTTAGGGCTCGCTACCAAGTACTCATCTAATCTACCAGGTACTTATTAATTTTATAATTTCGTCTTCCTCGTCATAGTAGTATAAAATTAGTGTTGCCAACCCCAATAAGAATGATCCAGATCGTTTCCGTGAGAAATGATCGTGCTACTGAGCTGGATAACCCAAGAAAACACAACTTATATATGTATGTCGAAAACTTCCTGAGCTCAAAATGCATTTTTTCAGCGGTAATTCAATGGTTCTGGTAGCGACCCATATAAATTATTTAAAAAAAAATTTAAAACGAAATTAATGAGTGTGCCATATAAAACTTCGATGTTGTCGTTTTAAGAAGCACCCTAATACACACACATACAGATGTACTTAAATGAATATACTCAGATTTAGTCTAACGCAAATCGTAATTTCATTGGTGAAAAGCTTTAAATTTTACCCTGTCCTTTGGAATTTGCATTGATTTGTTTGTTTTTCATATACAACATTGGACATATCATTTGCAACCAAATTCAAAATGATATTGTTTGCCACTTATGTTTGTTTATTTATTTTTAAGAATTTCCAATTAAACGACAGTTCAACAACAAAAACTGCAAATTTCAAGAAGATAGGAAATGGCGTTGATTTTTAATATTATTTTTTTTTTGCTGACAGTGTTGTGTATTTCCTTCCATATAAAGTAAACTCGGCAGTTACTTTTGTATGAAAAAATGCCTAGTACCGTTAGCAAAAAAATTATTAAAAATCAATGAGATTTTTTAGCGGCACTTTAACCTAATAAAAATTAATGGGCTCTAAAACTGCGAACCTAGAATTTTTCTAAAAGTTTTGAATAACGTCACTAGACACGAACAAAGACGCGCCGCTGTTTTGACGACGAAAAAGGACGCAGAATTTTTTTATGCGTCTTTTTTTGTTGAATTTTTAAAATTTTTTAACGAAGTTTGAAAGGTTGCATATGTGGTACTGGTTATGTAATGTGCTAGACTTTTATAAAAAATTATAAGCATAAATTTTTTGTAAGATTTGCAGATAGAGGTTATTGAATATATTTATGTCCTCGGCATGAATATGCATTTTATGTGCTATTAAAATGTGAATTGATGTTATTAATAAAAACGAAAAAGCATAAAGCTTTTCAAGTCTACTTATTAAGAAAAATAAAAAAAAGGTTTTTTTCATAAAAAAATTTTGCGAAATTGCATATTAGTTAAAGCCGAATGGTGTACTGCTGTACATTGAAAATAACTAAATTAGTGCTGATTTGTTAAATCAATTTTTTACGAATTTTTTCTCAACGCATTCCCTGTAGGGAAATACTCAAGTTCTTATTTGATTTGTTTTACAAACACATATAATTCCCGATACATTTTTTTCCATACAGATAACTGATGAACATAGGAAATAGATATTTGCTCTGCTGCAGTTCGAAATTTTAAAAGTAATTTAGTTAACTCCGCCGAAGGTCCTCGGATCGAAAATTGTATGGTTTTTTCCTTCTTTTTTTATTTTTTTAATTAATTAACCAGCAAGCAGTGCATTCTAACTCTGAACCAGAAATTTGCAACACCAGGGACATTATATGCAGACGAATTTTTTATTTGATTGATAACATGAGGAAGTCGGCATATACATATCTTAATTTATCTACACCACTGTGCATGCCCTCATCAGCTGAGTTATCATTTCGCATTGGCACTTATTTTTACTTCTTTACCTCGTTTATTTATTTTACTCGTGTACATATGTATATCTGTAAGCATATATGTACATATGTATGGGTGTACTTTATATGCATGAACTTACATACACATACATAGTATTTGTTTCCATTCTGTTTCTGGGGCCTTGTTCTTTATATGCACAGCTAATTTCACATTTGTCTGTCCACCTTCCAATTGATTACAACTGTAAACTTCCATATTGATTTTGTGAAATGTGTGTACACATGTGTCTACCTACGTATGCATGCATAAACAATACATACATACCTATATACATATTTAAATGTTGTTTTTAATTGCATTTTATTTGTGTGATCGATACTAAAGACCCATATTTTTTTTTATTTCCTGTTTTCTTTCTGTTGATGGAGCTTAAAGTATTTATAACATTTGCTAACGCTGTCCATTTGTATTCATAGATATTTTCAACATTTTGCATGTAGTGGTATAAATTTATTTAAATTTTTATATTAAATGTTTAGCTATTAAATACGTACATTAGGATGGTGCTTAAAAATGTCAACAGCTTAATTTTGTATGTGGCGCCGTGTGTGTGTTTGTTCTACGCACAAAAAAAACCTTCATGAAAATTTCAAAATTAAAAAAAAAAAATTTGCTAGAGGTTGCCGCTACCAGCATCTGAAAAAAATTGCAAAATTTTTAAATCGCGAAAATTCCACGAAATTTTTACTTGACATCTGATAAATTTGAAATATCGTTGAAACTTTGTATATAAATTCATAAACTCTCTGTGTTATAGCTAGTAAAAGTAAATATTTTGTCGAATTTCTGCAAATTAAAAACAAAATGCAAAGCCTGGTAGCGTCACACATTTTTTTTCAACTTTGTGATTTTCGTGGCTGCCTTTGTTTTGTACGTAGAACCAAATAGAGGTCTACCACATGATGTTTACATTTTTAAGGACCACCCTAATGCATGTATATGTAAACATTAACAACAGCATGTACATATATCTGCCTGCCATTTAAAATTAATCTCATTGGTATTTCATTATTTATAAGTTGTTCAATAAATTCAATGGCGAATTCTGTATTTGACTACTAACTAATATTTTATAATTTCATTATTTCGTCTTTTTCATATATGTATTCATGTGCTTGTTGACTGGCTAATTTGACTCATCAAATGAAATGCGCTGGAATTTAAAAAAAATTCTAATTAAAAACGAAATTTATAATAATGTTGGCAACTAATTAAAAAAAACAAAACAAATAATAAACTGTAAAATTAAAAACATGACACCGTTATATGATTCCAAAAAAAAAAACAACAACCCAAAACCCCGTTGCCGCTACAGATCAACGAAGCTCTTGAACTGGCGCTGGAAGCAATTGACAAAGAGACCAAATTCACCATGATTGATACCACCACAATAAAAGCAACAACCAAAACATTGAACACCGCTACCAGCAACCATCAAGCACAGCAATATCGACCACAACAACAACAACAACAGACATGACAACCATCACCACAAACTTGGCTCCAAAGGAGACGACAAATAAAACCGACGAAGAGAAAGAGCTAAGACCAAGCAACAAATCGTTGCAACTACACACAACTACATCAGCAACAAGCAGTAACCAAATTACGTTCCCGACAATGATTACGAACGTAATGACGCTAAAGCGGCGGAAATGGCCCGCGAGGCGCTCATTTCGCAGGAACCCATTTACGAGAATATCTCGGCAGCATCTACGCGCCAAGTAGATGCTGAGGCAACACGAATCCATTCAGCGAGCGCATTGAATGACAACAACAACCAAGTCTGCAACAGACGAGATGTGAATAATCTAGCGGTGAATCAAATTAATCAATTGAACAATAATATGAACAGCAACAGCAACAACAATAATAATATTAGTATTGATAATTCGAATGCTAATAATGTCAGTAATAGTAATCAAAATAATTTGCTAAGTAATTTGACTAACATTAGCAACAACAATAATAACAGCAATAGCAATAGCAATAGCAACAACAGCATTAGCTATAGCGCTAGCGCTAGCGATAACAACAACAAGCGGCGTAATGTCGATACAAATTTTATTGAATTAACCAATGCTTTCGCTAATGCTACAACAATAACAACAGCCACGGGCATGCCAGCAGCAGCAACAGCAACAGCAACAACAATAACAACAACTGCAGGCGCATGCACAGCAGCTACAGCTACAGCTACTGCAGCGCTCATAGCCAATGAAAAAGCGCATGCTAGTGACAACAATGCTGCAATTACAAAAACAACAACAACTCCATCCACTGCAACGCTGCAAACGGAGCAGAATTTACCATCCCACACTTCCTTAACTTCCTCCACAAAACCCACCTCGACAACGCCTGAGCGCGCGCTCGCCCCCAACCCAACCGATTTGGCAGATCACGAGCCCTACTACCAGGTGCCCCAGTCCAGCGAACCCTACTACGATGCGCCCAAGCACCTGCGTCCTGTGCCACTTTACGAGAACATCGAGGTGTTCTACACCGGTTTGGAGAACTCCACACTGGCAGGCGGCACTGGCGCCGCTCTCAATGGCAACTTCAAATTGGAGCCGCCGAAGGAGAAGCCACCACCGCCGCCCATCGAATCGCCGCCGCCTTTCGATGATGTCGACAGCATTGACAATAACACAGACACTTGGTCGTCGGACAATACTTACGAGACGATTTCATCGCGCTTGCCACACGTAAATGGCCTGGCGGCCGATCATCCTTCGCCGCCCATCAAGCGCATGAACTCGACCAAGCGCATCAAGAAGGAGTTGCGTAATAAGCGCTCGAGTTTTCTGGGCATCGACACGACGAATTTGGACGATGAGGAGAGTTATTTGGAGTTGACGGTGGCACCGCCGCCCGATATGGCGCAGCTGTTGCAGGAAGAGCGACGCTTGGAGAAGCAATTGTACCTGAAGGCGGGACTGTGCGATAGCTCAGATACAGGTGGGTGCTGTAATTTTTAATAATATTAATTTAAATATTTTAATTTATTTTTTGTTTCAATTACTTTAACTTAAGGCGAGAGCCGCGACTCTGGCGTCTCCGAGAATCATTCACGTCAGAGCAGCGAACACTACACAAACTCGTCGGAGGAGAACGATCGGCAAATCGACTCGCCGCCACACAGCCTCAAGTCGAATGAGCTCGTCTATCAGAATGAAGCGCTGCTGAGCGCCGTGCAAACGCCACTGCTGCAAACAGTCAAGGGCAACTGCGCCGAATCGTGGACCGAGTCCGCTACCGTCGCCGCAGCGGCCACCAAATCACTCACCGAGGCCACCGCCACCGCCAATGCCAAAATGCTCTCCATCGAGGAGAAAATACGCGAACAAGAGGAGGTGTTGCGTGTCGAGCGCGAGCTGCTGCAGCTCGAACAGGAGGAACTGAAGCGCCAGCGGGAGAATTTAATGCTGCGCGAGAACATGGCACGACGTGAGCTACAACATGGCGCCAAGATGCTCATGTCCGCCAATCGTCGCTCATTGCAGGACCTAAACGGTGTAGGTATGTCAGTGGCTGGTGGCGGCACCGGTCTACCGCTGCCGAATACTGCAGCCAATTTAGCCTACCAAACAGCCGTGCCACAATATGCGCTTGCTGCGCATCATGGCGTGCAACAGCCGCCAAAACAACTATTCGGCGCGCCCCTGGTAGCCGCGCAGCCGGTGCAGCAGATTTACGCAAATGTGCCCAATTTGCAGCAGCAGTACTACCAAGTGGACATCGACTACCGCAAATCCATGTCTGATCTGCAAGAGTTCTCCAAGCGGCACATGCTGCCGCCCACGCCACCAACCAAACCGATGCGCGCCATGCACGTGGCCAACGCAGCCAACACAGCTGATGAACTGGCTGCGCAACGACATTCGCTCAACGCACAAGGCTGGTGAAAATAGCCGCACCCACTGCAGCGCCGCGCGGTCACACCATTTACTCCAATCAGCAATATCACCACCAATCGACGCAGAATTTAAACGTCAGCAGCGGCAGCGTCAGCGCGGTGAGCGCTGCACCGCTACCACCACCCGTCACTAACGGCCATCATCCAGCCTTGCCTGGCAATATGTCGCGCAACACGCTACTTGCGCTCAGTGCCACACCAAAACCCAAGTACACCGACGGCTGGGTGCAAATACAGCAGCGCAAGTCTTTCGATTCGAATTTAGCCAACGATCCTGCTTGGCTTTCCGCTTACCAACAGAAGCGCAAATCCTTGCCGGAGGCATACCATGCCTACAACAACCATTGGCTGGTGCAGGAGGCCGAACAGCGGCGTATAGCAGAGCAGCGGCGTGGTAGCTCGACAGGCACAACGCCGGTGCATCAGCAGAACGGCAGCGCTGTAGCTGCGGCAGGTGGCATGAAGAGCGCGACGAGCAGCAATGGCAAACCTCTACCCGACTCCATCATACAAACGCTGACGGAACGCGTTCAAAGCAAGGGTATTGGTGAGCGAAAGAGGTCAGTTGTTTGAATAAGCTGAAAGATTGCGTGAAATTAATTCCGTTTTATTGCATTCTATAGATTTGACAACTATAATACGCAGAGCGCTACTGCTTTGGATAAAAGTCCGCTGCACGCCGCCTCCACATACTACCAACACCAACACCAGCTGTCGCAGCCGCAAACGCCAACGCATAAACGCCATCTCAGCGCTGGCGGCAGCGGTGGCGTAGGCTCGACAATTGCTGCAATGCCACCACAAACGAATGTGAATGCTTCGCCGGCTCATCAGCAACACAACAACAACAACAACAACAACAGCAGCAGCAGCCACAGCAACAGGAAAAGTGTTGAGCGTCAGCGGCAAGAAGAAGTGTTCACATTGTGGTGACGAATTAGGTAAAAGAATTAGGTAAAATTTGCTACTACGTTGGTTGTGAGTGTTTAAATTTAAAATTCCTTAAACGAAAGTAATCAATTTGAGTTGAATTAAAAATAATTTACATATGTACATATATATGTACATGTAGTTGACATGAATCGTTCACAGGGCATCACACCTTCACCATTATAGACGAATATGAGCATAAAGCATTCAATGGGTCATTCATAAGCTATTAATGAATTTGAAAGCATTATCGCTCCTCGGTGTAACGAACCACACACATCTCGATCAATAAGTATTCCACTCGTTCAACCGTAACTATTTGCTGACTGTTGTACATAAATACTTTCGTCCTCCTGCCTTCATTGTGTAGTTTATTGAATTATTGCTACCTAAGTGTACATATATCTCGTTTGACCATTGAATTTTTCATTTTCGATTTTTAATGCACATATTTCTTCTTTACATGCCTTTCCGCTGTGCGCAGACGCCCACGGCTGCACGGAAACAACTTGTCGTCATGTACATAAAGCACTCAAATATATAGTTTGGGTGTAAAAACGTATTGTAAAATAGCAAAGTATGTTTTTACTGTTATTGTTGGTTTATGTGAAGATGTTACTTTCATATCGTGTCATCAATGCAAAAGGTTCTAATTGATAAATTTGAAATTATGTTGCAAATCGTTTAATCATTGCAAATCATAAATAATAATAAGTTTAACAAAAAAAAAAAAAATGCGCATTTCCAAAACAATGGCATTTGGAGCCTATTGCATTGAAAGTGAGGAATCTTGTATGAAATAGACAATTTTTAGTTTGGAAAAGATGAAAAAAGAAACCTTCTCTCTTTTGGACCTGACTTATAGCAAACTAATTTAATGCAGAGAAAAAAATCGCCGAGTCTGATGACTTAGCGGCGTTATGGACCGGTTGCCAAAGATAAATAAATTGCATGCTTGATCAGGCAATCCTTCGATTAAAAAAGTCCACGTGCTCGTCCTAAAGCTGGTATTAGTTTCCACGCTTCAAAACATGGAAGCTTTCAAATATTTAACGCAAACATTTCCTGCTGTCAAAGCCATCAAATTCAGATAGACAGAAGCATCTTCTGACTGTCAGAGAAACACTTGTTCCTAGCTCTTTTATAATGTGGCGAGTAAATACAGCCACCCTATTAGTTAGGTCACGGCTGGCAGAGTAAGCACAAAGGATCTGTATAGATGGTTCCAGTACCCATCTAATAATTCCGGCTAAGTATCACTATACTTCTTCACATTTTAGGTTAGGTAAGGTTAAATCATTCATTAAGACCGTGAGCATTGGTCCTTTGTGATAGCGCTGCGAACAGTAACCGCTAGATTAAAACAAGAATCACTACGTTCTCAGAACGAAATTTCGTCTAAGCCACAGTGTACCAAAAAGCTGGGCCAACTAAGGGAAAGTTTTCGGATGATTCCCCACCTATCGTTAGTACATTGGCCTCTCTGTACACCTACCAGAATTGAGAGAGTCCGCTTCACAAGCCTAAGTAGATCGCTAGACCGCCTCCGGCCTACCCGCGGCCAGGAAGACTTTGCACCGGTACATGCTCTGGTTTTCCTCCATCGTTCACTGAGTTTACCTGAGGCTCATCTTTCCTTTCCAAGAGAAGTCCACAAGTAGTGAAGGGAGCTCCCACTTTCTCTCGTGTGAATTTTTACTAATTATTTCACATTTATTTTCAAGTTTAGTTTAGGCTCATTTCTTCACAATCTAATCCTTAGTCTATTGGCTCATTGGCGTATTCGTGGACTAAAAAATCTTGTCTAATGGATCGACATATCCATAAAGCAGACCCAAGCGCGATTTGATTCTTTTGATTCACATACACATACAAATAAGATAAAAATCATGGTGAGGAAGTACATATGTATGTTCAACACTCATTCTTGAAATAATTTCAAATCTATCAGTCTTAGCGCTTCCTAGGTGCAAATGCATATCTAGAATGCAATAACTCAGAACTTTGCTCTGATTTATGTAGACAGCAGTTTTTTCAAGCGTTACCAGTTTAATCTGTCACTTTGGGAATAATAAAACTTTTTCTGATATTGAAATTAACAACGTTAATGCATACCAATCATCTTATATCCATAATACAAAATAAAACTCACAGTCAACCAAAGTAAACCACATTTAAAAACTCTCTTTTCTTGCTAAGTAAATCAATATGACTAACATTCCTTGTTTCACGGCTTCGTCCAGGACGCGGTGCCGCCATGATCATCGAATCGCTGCTACTCTTCTATCACATCAATTGCTTCAAGTGTTGCGTGTGTCACGTACAGCTCGGCGATGGCTTGAATGGAACGGATGTGCGCGTGCGCAATCACAAATTGCACTGCCAAAATTGTTATTCCAGCGACGATGGCATCAAATTCAGTTGTGTTTGAGGGAGGCAAGTAAAAAAAACAAAAAGGAACCGCACTCTGCGACTATTGACGAAATGAAATGGCTGAAGGATGCGACATACAACATACATAGATATAAAATAAGCAGCTGCAAAATGGGTAAAAGCGTAATGAAATTGAAGACTGGGGAAAGTGGATGGTGGTAAATAGACTACATCACTAAAAAAAAGGAAGGAAAAAATGCCAAATTTGTTTCTTCAGTCAGAGTCAAACGTTGCATTAGGCGCCTGAAATGCTGTTAAATGTTTATGATTGATTTCAAGCTGCATATTGAAAAAAAAAATATTAATGGATGTTAATAATTTGCATGCTTATCTTTACAATTTTTAAAAGTAAAAAGCAGTGTTTCAAATTTTACATTAAACGAATTTTACAGAAAAAATATACAATATTTAGGTAAAAGTTTAACAAATGCGCTAAATGCTTATGATACTTAGAAAAAAAAAAAAAATGAGAAATCAAAATATTGAAATCGTCTGCAATTATTTGTGTAAAACGCAAAATAAAACTGTGCATCTATTTATGTTTGCGCAGCTAATTAGTAAACTGACCGAATTGTTAAACATTTAATGTTAATCGAATTTTTTCACTTTTGAAGAATTTACATTTGTGAATTTCAAAGTCGAATTAAAATTGTTACATACATATGCATGTATGTATATTAAAAAAGTATATAAAAATATTGAATGTTAGAAAAATGCTAGTTGAAAAATATGTAGAAGATGCAAACGGTTTAAAGTTTGGCAAAGTGGAGATGAATGCAATTACATAAATACATACAAACATGCTGCGCGTACATACATACATACATATATATACATGCGTACATACATACATGTGCGCGCAAATAGCATGCAAAACGCGTGCGAAAATCAAAAAAAAAAAAATATGTATCTCTACACATCTCATAATCTGCATGGCAACTTTTTATGCTCCAAATGAATGTTGAATTTGCAAATTTTGATTGTTGTTAAATGTTGAATGCAAGTTGGAAAATACTACTTTTTGCTTCATCGAAAAAAGCGTTTATCCAAAACACGCGAGTCAATTGACAATGAAAATCTGAAACTAAAAAAATAAAAAATAATTTTAAAAATCTTTAAGAAATTTTAATAAATATTTTAGGTCTCGTTTTTTTTTTCTTTTTTAATTGTAATATACTACACTGAGTAACAATGAATTTTTAATGCTTAAGCGTACAAGAAAACAAAAAATTAATTGTAATATTGTATCTTTATATTTAAGCATCTTATTTAACACTTTGTATTTAAACACAATTACATGATTATATCTATACATGCAAATATATACATACATACATGATAACCCACATATTATACATATCTACATATTTTATTTGCTCTTCTATAAAATTAGGTTATATGACTTTTGTGTATATAGTTTTTTTTCGCTGAATATACATATTTATTTATAATTTCTATGTGCAACTAATAAAAATTAAAAAAAAAATAATATCAACATATATTTTTCTTATACATACATGCTTGGCAAGGTGTGAATTTTTTGCCTGTTTTTAAAATAATATATTGAATAAAAAAAAAATTGGCAGCTTTGAGTGGAAAGTCAAAATAAAATTTACTTGCAGCTAGCTCTAACGCCAATTTCGCTTACATAAATTTGAAAGCAACCTGAAACAGATTTGGAAAAAAAGTTTTTTTCAGCTTTCTCAGTTTCTGGCATAATTTTTTACATCAAATTCACTGTGGGTCTGAATATTTAATATTAACTGCAATTTTTTAGCAAACTGAACAACAAAAAAAAAAAATTAAATTTGTTATTTTTTTTTTTGTTATTTTATGCTATAAAATCTAACACAAATTTTTCATCAAAAATTTATAAAAAATAATCAGAACATTATCTAAAATTGAAAGCGCCTCTAACACCTCTATTCTAACATAGTCACAAAACTCAGCTCATCACAAAAATTTGATTTTAAGTGCTAGAAAACGCCACAAAAACTTAAAAATTTGTATTGTAGCGCATATCTGTTGCAGTGGCAAACTTTGTGGCGCAGTCGAAATGACAGCAGTGATGAGCTAAGGTTTGTGACTTTGTTAGAACACGTCTGTAAATGTTCATTAAGATTTCAAGAAATTTATTTATTAATTTGTAAAAATTTAAGAAGCTTGCGCTTCACGTAAAAAATTGGTACAATTTTCTGCAACTTAATTGCTGACTTTTTTTAAACTTTTTAACATCGGGTCAATCAATAAGAATACATGTTAAACAAAAAATCTAAGAACAAAAATTTTAAGAACAGGTTTTTTCCGAGCTTTTTAATACGAAATTTTTTTTTGTGCAATGAATTCAAAAATATTTAAGTCAATTTTTTAATAAAACATACACCCAAATAACGAAAAAAAAGTCAGCAACAAAATAATCACTGTTAGGCATTTGAAAAACTAAAAATCTTTAATGGAGTTAAATGTACCTAAATGTATAAACAAACCCTTCCACACATAAATACCTAAGCATACAACTGCACGTACATAATTGCATATGTGCACACACTTACAAAATTAAAAATTAGAATTTATTTATTTATGTATATGTATCCGTGTATAATATTACATTTCTTAATAAATTAATGCTTTTAACTTTTTAATAGTAATCTGTAAGTAAGAATCAATTCCGCGATTTCAACCCTCAATTTCAATTTAAAATTATAGCTGTTTACACTTTAAGAAATAAAATCAAAAAAAAAAATAACTTTTTTTCATTTTTAAAACTTAAACCACTTTTTGTACTACTTGGCACAGTATTTTTCAATATTTGGCACAGTTTTGTTTTGCAAAATTGCATATGTATATCGCTTAAAAGCATTGTGCATAGTACATCCCTTCTGCATACATACAAACGCGCAACACACTCTCAAAATTATATATTAAGCGTGTCCTTATTTGCACTAATTTTATGCATACATACATACATACATACATACATACATATATATATTAGTGTATGATTTCTTTCATCTTATTCTCACTTTTATTCTGTCTTATATTTGTTTTAATAATTTTTCTGTAAAAAATATAATCATTGCTATATATGCTATGCTTAGTTTGTAAACGAATTATACATATATTAATGAATCGATGGAATTTTATTACGAAAATCATTATTATAATAAAGCTATGTATTTAAAATATATATGTATACACACACACACACAATCGATGCTTAGGCGAATTAAATTTAAATGAAATTGTAATTTGTTTTATTTCATTCACGGAACGCAAAGGTTGAGTATACGCTGCGGTGTCTTCTCATAAATATCAAATACCTATGTACTATTGTATTGGTATGGAATACATCGCTCCGGCAAGCGCATAAGAAGTTAAAATTGATGGCCACATCTGCATTGCATTTTGATGTAATTTTTTATTTTTTTGTGGATTATGAAGTTCTTTCAAGCAAACCCAATCAAGACTGCGTCCATTAATTTACCGGTTACAACGTCATCCCTCAAAAGCTTGGTGCGTCTGTACAAAGTTCAATATGGTGGCTCATATAAGGCGGTAGAAATTTCTACAAAACGTTCAGTGCATGCATAAGTAGTACATACATTGTGCTAGCAAAATTTTTCTTTTAATTAAATTTTTTTTTTTTATCGAGGACGGAAGGATGGCTGAAATGTTTCCATGGATTCGTATTCAGTTTTTTTTTTTTTACTTCTGTCTTTCTTAAATTTTTCCCTAGGAATATTGAGTTTTCACACATCATACTGAGACTGTTCGAATTTTGTGTTTGACTTTATAAAATCACGAAGACCTCGGATCTGCTTAATATATGGAGCACAGAAATGTGTAGGGTAGCAGCAGCGATCACCAGGCACTCACCTCTACACAAAAGTGCTTCGAAACTAAAACATTTCTATGTATAATGGAAGCTAACTGCTTTAAGATAGCAAATAAAATTTCGAGCATTTCCTGTTCCTGAAAATACAATGTAAAAAAGTACCACGAAAACACATATTGACGTAAGTGCCATTATACAAAATACATCCAAAAAATTAGCACCGCCAACATGTTCCCAGAAACATGTTGCTAGCGACCGCTGTGTAGATCCCAAATGTTGCCCGCATTTAGGCGCGAGTTGTAAGTAAACTGCTTATAAACATATGTATATGCGCATATTTTGTAATGGATTGTTTCATACAACTGACTTTCCTTGCAGATTTCAGGTAATAAATAAATAAACTTTGTATATACACTTTTAATTCATATACGGTACACGCTTAAAGCTCAGTTAGTCTACACCATAGCTGGGCAAAACGCTACTCGCGAGTAGCGTCTGCGTCGCAGCGCTTAAGGCCCGTCCACATACAACTTTGGCGTTGCGTTGGCGCTGGCGTCGCTTTGACAGCGGCGCGCGTAACGCCCGTGCTTGCTACAATGAACGCTTAGCACAGAATACTTTGGTCACTAAATTAACATACTAGCGGCTGATAAATCAAAATTTTTACATCAATAATTGCATTAGAAACTATATTTCTTGCCCGCATTCGATTAAAAATTAAAATTAAATCACATAATTTTGATTATTTAGAACAGCTGACGAACGACGCGCGCGAAAAGTTGAGAGTTGGCCATCTTTCTGCGTTGTGTTGGCGTTGGCGTTGCCCAACTTTGGTTATATGGAGACTTTCATATAAATGCATGTATTCATAGTCAGCTGTCGAAGCGACGCCAACGCCAACGCA